TTTGCTGAAGTCAAGATATACTGTTACATCTACAGCATTCCCATTGTCTACCAGGGAAGGAGGTTGCCCAATCAAAAAAATGAGATAGAATTAATCTGGCAAGATTTCTTCTTGCAAAATCTGTGTTGGCTTCTAGTTATTATGGCATTGTTTTCAATCACAGGAAGAGGCCATGCCACTGGTCACTAATAATGTCAAAAAAGTATTCAGTAAGTTTCTAATGCATAACACCTGTCACTGCAGTTAATCCAAAAAGCTAAGGTACCAGGCAGCATTATATATTCCTAGTCACAAAACAGGACCATCTGCATGATCACATAAGATATGACTTTCAGCCACAAAAATGCTGCATTACGGGAAACATCTGAAATGTTCACAACTAAACTTTATCCCCCAAATCTCATTGCTTGGAAGATGTTTTAAGACTGTGATTTCTGTTTTCCACTACTGCAACATCAGAACAGGTTGCACTTTTTCTATATACCTATGATTGCTTCTTTAACACAGGAGTCTACAGGCAGGATGTTTTTCTCCACAAGTTCCATCGGGCCAGGCCTCTGAGCAATCTTCTCATTCAGATCATCTGCCAAGCGTGCCCTCTTCAATTTCATCTGAGTTGCCTGGAGGGAGGGTTCTGCAAATGTTTCTGAAAAAAAGGAAGTGTGTTTTAAAAAGAATATTAGAGTTGCTAGTTTATTTTTGCAGCTTTGGAAGAAAAATGATAGCAATAAAATTTTGGTGGCTATAAATTCCATTATCTAACCAATTTTTGTTTTTCAGTGACAAATATCTTTTTCAAACAGAGGGGTAAATAAAGTGAGAACTTCCCTGCTTGATTCCAGGTAAGTTAGGAATCGTATAATTTTCTGGGAAATAGTTAATCAGTTTTGCCCCAGTGCATTCTATGTACCTATGCTTTTGAAACATCAAGGTACGTGTCCCTGAAATACATAGTCTTACACATTTTACGTGCCCCCAATAACCACTGTATTGTAATGAAATATTGCCAAATCTCTTAATTTGCACTTTTTTTAGCAACCAAAGAATTCAGTCTTCTATAACATAGGAAAACCAGATTCCTGGACCAAATACACAAATACAATGAACCCAGAACCACTTGTAAAGAAGCTTCATAGGCCTACTGGAGCAAGGTGATGGTCAGAGATTTTCAGAAGTACACTTTTAGCTACCATTCCTATACATCTATGAGAAAGTATAACATGTGTGTGAAAAAGTGCTTCATGTCTATTTTGTGCATATTTGGAGTCTGTATTGCAAAGTAACTCTCATATCTCAGATGGCGATTTAACCCCATTCAACAGCATTTCTTTGTCAAATACCCTATCTATTCTCAGAGATAGTCTACACAAAACCACACTATTTCTGTGTACTGGAAGTAATTATACAAAGCATTGTATTGGCATTTTCTAATTTATTGTTTGTTGTCATTTTACAACTATCATGTGCAAATATTATTTCATTGTGTCATTTTTCCACTATAACCAACTAGGAGGATATAAGTGTTTAAGTTTGGAAAAAATTAAGTACGAAGTTCTGAGTTCATGGGATAAAATAGTATGAATCTTTTAAAAAGTAATAAAGCAATAAATAAAACAAATCTCTTCTTTTCAAAGTACTGTTATAATGAACTTGTATATTTTATAATATATACTAGACTTTTTTTAGAAGGCCACAACTTTTTTTCAACCAATCTGTGAGAAGAAATAATAGAAAAGCAAACAATTCTCCTTGTTGATCCAGTTTTACACCATAGAATGATAGGGGAAGCCATACTATTCTCAAACTTTCATAATAAAATGTTGCATTCTAATTGATTCAACATGTAAGGTGGCACTAGTATCTTTAGATCTTCAACTGTAGATTGGAAATAAAAAAAACATCTATGCACAAACATTTTGGGGCTAGCAAAGTATTTTGTACTCAAAGGTGGTAAAACTGATTCTTGTGACAGAGGTATTCTGAATAATACTGCAGTTACTACATTCCTGAATTTTGAAAGTTAAATATGGATTTTCATAGTTTGGAAAATCAGAGAATATGTATATTTTTATGTCTGAGCCCTGGGAAGTCAGCAGTAAATTTCCCTGGAAGAAAAAACAACAGCTCAATGTAACTAGAGCACAGAGATTTTATCATGCTGCATTGATTGTATTTTTTTTCAGAAACATCTATTGTCTCGATTTCAAGGTTTTCCTCATTTATTCAACTTTTAGTACTTATAGGCAGAGTGGGTGGGATGGGCAAAGTGAAGCCTGTGGGCCCCAGGTGTGTTTTTTTCTTTCCCAATCCTATTCTAGACAGAAAGGAAACAAACAATAAGGGTCATTGGGCCAGCATTTTGCTGCTCCTGATCCTTGAAGTTGTCCATCAAGACTCCCTCCATTCCCCCAATTAGATTATTTTTCTTTTAAAAATGGCAAATTTTGGCTGTTTTGGGAATTCAGCCCTCAGACTTTGCCCACATCTGGCTTAATCTTTTAACCAGAAAACACTTCACCTTCAAGTATGTGCATCCTGACCAACTCTGATCGATCTGGTCTACTTCGGATCTTGTGCTTCAAAAAGTTTTCAGTCTGGGGTAAAAACATATACACATACAATACATTAATGCCACTGGTAATTCATGCAAAATAATTCAGTTAAAAAAACATACTTGTGAAATGGGTTTCAGAATATATATGTCCTGAGTTGCTGTCACAAAAGCAAACTCTGGACATTCTTTACTCAGAAGAAAATATGTTACCATCTAAGAGCTTTTGTAAGATGTTCCCCTACAATCCAAAGTTTTTAAAAATAATTTGTTATTAAATCATTTAGTGAAAACAATCGAACATCATGTTCCTGGCAAACACATACAGTAGTGGATGAAATGCAGACTTCTTTTCCAATTTTAAAGTCCATGATCCAACCTATTAAAATTCACATTTCTTTTCCAGTTTTAAAGTCCATGATCCAACCTATTAAAATTCACATTTCATAGAAGGCACATTTTAAACCAATTCCTTGTAACTCTGATGTAAATCAATCAAATATAAAATGCAGAAGTATAATTCTAAGTGATCAAGAATTTAGAATTCCTAGCACATGAAGAACACTTATAAGCAGAGAAGAGAGCTTCTGAACAGACCTTTTCCAATTTTAAAGTCCATGATCCAGCCTATTAAAATTCACATTTCATAGAAGGCACATTTTAAACCAATTCCTTGTAACTCTGATGTAAATCAATCAAATATAAAATGCAGAAGTATAATTCTAAGTGATCAAGAATTTAGAATTCCTAGCACATGAAGAACACTTATAAGCAGAGAAGAGAGCTTCTGAACAGATTTCAGATTTGTAATGAAACTGTTGCTTATTTCCTGAGCAGTACAGTCCGTTGTACTATACTGAACAGATTAAACTGTACAAAGAGCATGTGCACCACAGGAAGCAAAAACTGATACTGTATTTGCTCTTAGCCATTATTATGTGATAGAGGACTTTATATTAGTTTCAAACACAGTGAAAACAGTTCCTGTGTTTTAAGCACAGTCAGGTGTACTTATACATCAATGAAATTTTAAAAATTCTTGTTACATAACAAATCATGAATCTCCATCTCTCTCTTAGGTTCTGAAGTGATTTGAGATACAACACATTAGGGGAACAAGAAGAACAAATTGCCTGATTCTCTTTATCTTAGCTAACAGGTGTGAGAGTACAGGACACTATTGAATTGCTATTTTAACCCTGTCTTAAGGCTAAGATTTTAAAGATTAAACTATTAAATTGTTGGTCGAAGTTATTGTGGTTTGTTGCAACTTCAACAAACTAATATATCTTCCTTGAATACAGAATAACACAATAATTACAATATTCATTACTCTGATACATACTCTTCTGTGGAGAGTTAAGAATATACAAATATGTAAATCAAAAAGGTTTAAGTGTTTAATGCAGTGATGGCTAACCTTTTTGAGCCCGTGTGCCCAAACTGGGGGGGGGGAAAACACACAAGCGGGCAGCGGGCGGATGTGGCAGCAGTGGAAATGGCAGCAGAAGGGGGAATTCCAGGCACGGAGGTGCCTCCACACCCCACTCCGGATCTGCCTCCAATTGTGCCCAACCCCCGCCAGCGCCAGCTGCTCCGGATCCTGGCCCGCCGCCTGTCAGGGCGCTAGCACCACGGCTGCAGACACCTCCTCTGGTTTGGCTGCCAGGGATAGCAATCCTGTGACTTATGGCACGTGCCCACAGAGAGGGCTCTGCATGCCAGCTGTGGCATGCGTGCCATAGGTTCGCCATCGATGGTTTAATGTGCCTCTTAATATTATATAAGAACAAGTAGCTCTAAAATGAATCTTTCCTGTTCTAAATTTATAAGCAAAGATGAGGATGATTATGTAAAGGGCTAGAGAATTTAATGGATAATCACACTGTCATCTCTGCTTGGATGAAGATAGTCAGTTTAATAATGATACAGTTTACTAAGCATATTCTCTAAACTCCATTCCAGAGATTATACTTGTGAGGAAAGCAACAAAGAAGGGAAGCTTTTCCCAATCACTAGCACACTAACCCACCTGGTAAGTGGCCACACCAGGTTAAGCAAGGGTTGTGTGGCTTAGTGGTAGTGGGTCCTCTCTGTGGTGGCCTGTGATCCTTCAGAATACTCAACTTCAATTTTCTGTCACTGTGTAAGTTGTACATATATCCCACCTTTTCCAAATACAATCATATTGGAAGAATTTACTAAAATGTTAAAACTTGATTCCTTACCCTGGCTCTTTCCAAGCTCTTTATCTGCTCGTGGAATGCAGCTGGGCTCTTCAAAGCTTCAGTGAGAAAGTAAGATAATCATATAAAATTACGAGAACATAAGGATGAGAACTTAATTCTTGAAGTTATGTTTGTCTCTACTAGCTAATCTTGAATGCATACTGCCAGCAAAATATGAGGTCTTCTTTACCCCTCTACCCAACCCGCTATAATGATAGATCCTCTGTGTTATAACTCAGTGACCGACAGGCACTTTCCAATTCCATTATCTTTTGATTGTATGATGATTCTAACCAAACTAAACCACATGCAGTAGTTGGAAAACCCAAGAGATTACTGGGCCAAGGTCCAATGGCATGCTTTGCTATTCTACACAGGTGGAATTGGGGACTTTTCTCTTTTCTTACTGCAGTTATCAGTGATGCCCAAAACCTGATTTGTATGGTTTACCACCATTCCAGGTTAAAGTCTGAAAGGACTGAGGAGCTGAAAAATGGTTGGAAAACCCTTGATTTTGACAGAAGCAGCTACACTGAGTGGAAGCACATGCAATACCATTGAATGCAAAGCAATAGTTTGGTCCAGCTGTTCAGCACTGTATGAGCAAGACAAATGTTCACATACTCCTCCCACTCTCCCACTTCTCTCCACACCCACTGCTTATTTAGGAACCTTTTGGGCTTTGTCAAACTGCAGTTTACTGTAACTTTTGAACTGACAATTATGGTTTGTAAGAGCTGTGCAACTCTAGTTTCTATCATGGGTTGAAGAGGTTAAAAAAAATCACAGTTGGTCAGTTTTTAGGGACTAGTGATTAAATACACTATACAGAAAGAGGGGAAAGCATAAGGGACAAAGGACATGAGAACAATGCTCATTCATGCGGCACTGAACCATTGTTTGGCTTTAAGTATTAAGTGAGCATTTAAATTAATTGCAGCAACATTTTCTCATGCAGAGTCCTGCTGTGACTCATGCAGAGTCCTGCTCTCTTGTGAAGCAAGAGAGAAGCACTTCCACAATGGGTATAAAGCCTTCACAATTAGAAAGACATTTTGGGATTCTGAACAGCTAAATGCTGTTTTAGGAGACAATGCAAGCTTGTTATGTATCAGTATGTAGCAAAAGGTTTTTAACTGATTGGTTTGTGAAGCAGTATTTCTGAATTGCCTTAAAAAGGCCGAAATTTTAACAGTTCCAGAAAAATCAAGAAAAAGCCGCATGATCCTAGAAACAATACAAAATGCAGGAAGAGGCGATACTTTAGTCAACTATTAAGAATATAAAAACAAACAAACAAGCAAAAAACAAACAGTGAGCTTTTGATGATAAATCATCTTCTTCAAGTCTTTGCATCAAGTTCTTGTGGGTATAGTTCAAAATGTTCACAGAGGGACAGATATACATGTAGAGGGAAACAGGGTTAGTCTAGCAGGGTATCAAGGCAAAGATGTAAGTATATAATGTTGGAGCTATCCACAGAAATGTGATGCACAGCCTTGAAGAAGATGATTTAGCATCAAAAGCTCACTGTTGTTTTTTTGTTTTACATTCTTAATGGTCGATTAACACTATCACCTGTGCCTGCATTTATTATTTTTTAATATAAATTGCCAGTTAGATCATACCATGTCAGTAAAGCAAATTTCGGGTTTAATAGCAAGACAAAATGTGTCTCTTATTTCCTCCTATTTTGAAATTTTAACATGACATAAATATTAGATAAAGTTAAATTTAGAGATATAAAGTATCTGTTCATATGTGTGTGCCTACCTTTGTTTCTTGACTGTTATTAAATCTTTGCATACCATATGTTATTGCCTGCTTCTTTTCATCTCTAGCAAAGTCAAGGAATACAATCCACACAAGTTGAAGAAAATAAAATTAGTCTTACGTGGCATGATTCCCTGATCTACCAGCTGTTCTCTTGTCCGCCTTTGTTGTAGCCTCAGTTGAAGTACTGGTAGGAGGAAAAATAATCATTATTAAGCAAGTGGAATCAAGTCTTAAACAGCAAAATATAAAGTGTGCAATCTAGTGACACTGGTGTCTATAACTTTGAAATAATTGCTAATTTAAACACTTAGTTAGGACTTGCTGCTTTCAATGACACTGAAGTTTCTTAGGAGCCAAACTTATAGCCTGTTATAAATTCAAATAATCAAAGAAATTTTTTTAAAATAATCCTGTATGTATAAAAAGATAACAATGTTGAATCTTTAAAATACGGGTTTTTAAGGCCTTTTGCAGTTAATAATATACAACTATTTCAGCTACTATCCAGCTTCAGTCAGAACATTTTGGCTTTACTGTATACTATTGGCAGTATTTATTCCGTTTCAGTAGAACCACACATTCCAGCCCTAGAAGCATTAAAATTAGCTTGATGTTAAAAACAAAGTGGTGTTTTCACCAAGAAGAGGTTTGCACATGCAGCAAATATACCCAATGTAGTCTAGCCACCACTGATAGTCTTCCATTAGTAGTAGGAACATCTTTGTCATGTCCCATTAATTCACATCCGACTCATGGCAAGATATGCAATACATTTAAGGAGTAGTTTTACCAGTGCCATTCCCCAGTGACTTCTCATGGCTGAACAGGGATTTAACCCAGGTGGTATATATATCCTAGGTCCTGGTCCATCATTCTATCTACTGCACCAACTTGGCAGTTGTTGTGGTATTAATATCTTTATTTGTGAAGAACAGCATTATGATAGAATCTGTAATTTAAAGTAATGTTAGATTGAAAATCATGGTGCATAACCACACGGGACCAAAATTAACATACATTAATTTTGAAGAGAATACCTAAACTTGTGACACCTACTAGTTTTCAAATTACTGAAATACAGTAGTGGAACTTACAGTGTAACACTAATAGCAGCACAAGCAGCAGTTTTCTATGAATTAAATATTTTGGAACCCACCCTGCAAAAGTCCTGAGGCTTCCTTGCAATCCCTTTCCTCGTGGGAAAAGTGGCATATCGTCAGGCCCTCAACTACAAAATGTGGAGAAGCTGCTGAGTGTTACAGGATCAGGGAGGGGGCAAGTCTTTAATTTAAAAAAAATCACTGCCACTGAACTACAGGCTCATAAAGCCTATCATGATCATGATAATCATGGTCAAATATTCCTCCCTTGCCTCTCTCATTCTCTGCCTTCAGCCCAGACATACAGAAGCGTTAAAGAAGAACTCCGCAAGGAGAATCTTGGTGCTAAAGACAATACACAAGAAGAAAATGGAAAGGAATAGATGGAAGAACATTGCCTCGTAAACTAACTGAATAATCACCTAAAATGATGGCCCTAGAACCACATACAGTACTAAAAAAATCTGCTTAATAGACTGTTTTAAATGTTGGCCAGAATCCTACTGGTGATTTATATTTGTGTAAGACAAATTGGGTTAAATCCAGTTTCAAATTGCCACTGGTTATATTCCTAGACTTTCTCAACTTCCATTATGCAAGTGTAGATTGTCAATAGGATTCTGGCCATTAGTTGTTAGAATAGTTTTACCCCTTGAGATTTAAGTTAGAAAAAAAGAACAAGGTAATTTAAACAAACAATTAACTTAACCACATATCCATCTCCCTCCAAGCAGAGATTATGAATATATTTTAAGCTAGGAAATATATGTAATAACAACCCATTGCTTTAATCGTTCTTAATGACTTCTAAATGTAAGAATAATACAAAATGATTTTAAAATATGAAGTCTCCATTCTCATTTTACATTTAAAAGCAAAACAAAAATGGCTGCCAGATTATCAGAATAAACGAGTTTGCACCTAGGTCAGACTAATAACAAAGTTCACAGTTCAACAGAGTAGTGGCTTGTTTTCTGCTTGCAGCAAAAAAGGATGCTTGACTGATGCTAAAAATAGGTTTAAAGGGGAAGCATAGCTACGAGGCTGCAAGAGAATAACATATGAACCTTAAAATGAATACAAGCTTACTGGTTTTTCTACATTACTGTTAAGTAATATATATCCAATGCTGTAATTTTTCACAATTTTATTTCAAGGAACAAATACCTCTCATATTATCTTTACTCATTTTTTACTATGCCTTTCTCCTAAGAAAGGACCCAAGTCCAAGCATGACGTGGTATAATGGTTTTTAGTATGTCAATAACATATGTAGAAGTTATCAGCCATAAGTATGAGCTCCAAGATGAAAAGTATGGTCTGAGATAACCATTCATCTCTTTTAACATCTACTAGCCATCCAAACTTTGTTCCTAAATCTCTGAGGAAAGAGAGTCTGCCACCTTCCAAAATAGTGTACCCCACTGTTCAACTGCTGATATGGTCAAGATATTCTTAATGTTCAGGTGAAATTTCTTTTATTGTAATTCGAGCACATAATTTCAGTTCCTGCTGTACGGAGCCACAGGAAATAATCCTGCTCCATCATTAGATGTCTGAAGATGGCTACTATAACATATCTCAAACTTATTTTCCAAGCTAAACATATTTAACTCCCTTAACAATCTGGGTTCCACACCCTTTACGATCCTGATCATCTTCCTCTGGTCACACTCCAGTTTCCTGATAGTATTCTTAAACTGTGTTGCCGAAAACTTGACAGAACTCAGAACTTGGAAAAACACATGTTGGCTAGCATCTTATTGGGGATTTACTGTATATTGGCATAGAGTGTAATTGTATAACTCATGGCTGAAAACTGCTGCTAATTAACACGTTCCCATGCACATTCCTGAACATGTGTGCCAGGCACACAACTTGGGGCATGATAAGAATGTGAACAGTAACGAATTAATGAATCACAATTCACTTGAGTCACATAATTACAGCAGCATAGATCTTCAACAGGATTCTGATGTTTAATTTTAACACGTTAATATTAAATTTGCTACTTTTTTTCCAAACAGGGCAAAATGGCATTTTGTCAAGCATTATTATTATTATTATTATGTAATCTCAAAAGGGCATGTGTATGTGCATACCCCTCACCACTGAGATGAAGATAAGCACACACTTCGAATATAATACTGGCTCTTTGATCAGTAGTTCCCAACTGTGTCACCCCAGGTGGTTTTTGGACAACTTCTCCCGGAAGTCCTAACCAGCACAGGCACATCCAGGGGTTCTAAGAACAACAGTCAGTGGACATCTGGGACTCAAACACTGCTCTACAGACAGCCACTTTCTTTGACCACTTTCACACAGACTTTCTTAGTGTAACACTATAGAATCAATAACGCAAAATATAAAAAATATTTGCATTCATAACAAACAACCATCTGATCTCAAGTGTTATAATTTGATCATGTCCATACCCTCTTCCCCAGTTTCATTTTCCCATGAGGTCAAAGATTTGTTCTGATGTAGTACACATTTCTAAAATCATTACTCAAACTATGTTAACTATAAACATGCCACTTCACATTGTTGTACATGAGAACTATCTCTGTGATTTGCATCTCTTTTTGAAAGTTATCATTGTTGGAATAATCTTCCACAACATCACCTTTTTTTGCAGCTCACCCCATGGATGTCCATTAGGGGTATAGTGAAAATAAAGAGTGGGCTCTTATTTTAAAGACATGGGCTTCTATCTAGTTAAGGATACACCTTTCTATTAAATGCTTCTTTAAATAAACCTAGTAATCTTTGTATAAATAGGTGACCACATTAACAAAAACTGTGGGAAATACTAAGTGCTTGGGGAGGACTGATTCAATTTTCTTCCCATTGATCAGATAATGCAAATGTGAATCAGTCTGGAGTCTCTTCCCCATTCATAACTTTTCCTGCCCACCAAGGAACCTTCAACCTTTTAAAATGTCAAATCCTTTCATATGAGCTCATGCATGTGATCACTTGAACCAATGCAGAAATGGAGGCGAAGGGATGTGTGTGCACACACTCAAAGCACCTTCCACCTGACCTCTTGCCTCTTACCTCGTTAAGGTACGAGCACAGACATAGATGGGGTAGCATCAGTGTCAGAGTACTGAAAATTTACAGGCCTGAACAGAACAGAACAGAGCAAAAGTAATAATGAGCTGCCATGTTATACAGGTGAGTAATTTGCTGAGTCACAGTGACTCTGGAGAGGCGGTGCCTTGGATGATGCAACACCTGCTGTGATTAGATAAGGGCAGAGGCTCAACTGTATATATATGAACTGTATAGAGAACATGTACCACCACCTTCATTTGATGATGCCATGCTGTCATGCTGCCGCTTTCTACACTTGTTTATATGCTGTAAATACACGTGTTGTGCTGGAGGAAACTGAACGTGTCTGAGTGATTTATTTTGCCTTCTGGACCTGAAAAAAACTTAACTCTGCTGGATTTTCATGGGTTCGCGGTAACAATCAGCAAACACTCTGCCCAGAAAAGTCTCTCTCTCAAGACTTTTATTTATTTCTTATAGCTTCATTTCTCCACCGTGTAGTCTCATCTTCAGTTTAACCTTTTGTCTAGTTTATTCTCCAGAGAATAGAAGGTGAATTTAAAAGTTCACAGGAACACAGCTGTTGTTTACTCGGCTAAGAGGTCTCCTAAAAGAGCTTCCCACAGACTTAAGAGTCTGAATTAAAATTAATGACTCCAAAAAATAGAAGTCAGTATTCTTCCATGATCATTACATGTAAAGATGAACTACTTTGCCTAGAGCATCCCTGTCAATTGCTGCATCACTCACACTCATATGGCAATGCTACCAACGCAATACTCCCCAGTACAAGAGACAAGGCTAGAACTCTGTATATCACCAGGAGCTCTGTTGCCACAAATGACTCAAGCAGCTCACACAGTATCTAAACACAACAAAACTGCTAACATAGCCCATACAAATGCTCCCAACACGTTCTTTTGATATCAAAACCACTATGGGCTTAAAAGTGGCCGAACAAAAAGCAACAACGAAAAGGAAGGAAGGAAGGAAGGAAGGAAGGAAGGATCATTGGGATCTGTAG